TGAGTGGCTGCAATCTCTCCAGGTTTTATTATAACATGCTGAATTTAAACTCAACAATTTTAACAAATAATTCAGTTAGAACGACAGCTAATGAAACTCTGGAGATATATCTTCAAAACTTGACCTTAAAAGTTCTACTTAGATACATTTCCTTTCTATAATGAACACAAACTTAGATGAATGATAAACACATAAACATGAGTACCTTGTAAGATAATTAATTCCTCAATATACCAAAAGATGGCAGTAAAAGTTATTCCCCTCTTTTATATTACACTGTTTGAAACGCTTCATTACTCTACTAAGTACTTTTTCTAAGGAGTGTAGATATCCTCTACATTAGTGGTAAATAGTACTAAATATGGGTTCTAGATACGTTTTTTGGTTACAAATGTAGGGATACTTTATTGTTTGGTAAAAATCTTAACATCTTAGGATATACATTTAAAGATGTGAACCAAAGCTGTGAAGATAGATGTTTATAATACTAAATAGAAATATTGATGAAATTACAACATTTTTATCTAAATAAGCTTAACCAGTGTTTAATATAAATGAATGGTAGTGGTTTGTAAGAAAATGGAGTTGTTTAAAATGAATGATTAGTCAGGTAAGAAAAATAATCAGGAAAGTTCGTAAGTATATTTTTCTCCTTAATGTATTGTCTGTTTCTTTATAGAGGAAATAACTGTATTCGTATTTCTAACACACAAAGGAACAACATCCAATGAACTAACTAATGTGTACGAAACGTCAAGACAATCGTGTAGTAAAGAACTTAGTGGACCAAGTACGAAAGATTTGGACTGTAGAACAACAATAAATAACGACAAAGTATGTGAATCATTGGAAGAAGATTCAGCCAATGTGAACGTTGATGATGAACAACCGTACAGTAATGGCGATGTTAAACTTCATGTGTCACTAAAAGAAGCTCTGAAAATGAAAGAATTTTATCTTTTATCTATAGTTTGTATTTGCTCATATTTTCCATTCATGTTTGTAAATGTGTTTTATAAGGTAAGTTTATGAACTTGATATTAGTTTATTTTCTAAGGTTTCTTTCAAGCTATAACCATGAAAGTTTATAACTCTATTAACTACGATTTTCATTTAAAAATTAATGATATTCTCATCATCAACCATTTTGTGATACAGGATGGAACCGAACCCATTGTGATGTTCAAACTAATATAAAATAAGAATAACTTGTAGTTAGTTACAAACTAAGTACCAACAATAGGAATGTGTTGAGACTTAAAAAATACTTTTATACTATTTTTCAGACATATGGACAGACGTTTATACAAGACGACACGTTTCTAGCCACCACTGGTTCTGTAGCTGGAGTTGTTCATGCCCTCAGTCGAGTGAGTGTGGGCTTAACTCATGACAAATTATCTTACAAGGTAAGAATGTGTAAAGTGATGTAACTTGTGTTGTTATAAATAATTATTGAAATAATATTAGTTGTATCAAATGTATACTGTCGTTATGGCTCAGCGGTTAAATAGCGGGCTTATAATATTAAAATTCGGGTCTCGATCCTTGCCGCGGGAACAACATAATCCCGTTGTTTGCTTTACAATTAAGTAATAATTTATTTTAATAATAAATAAAAGTAACGTGTAATAATTTGTTATTCAACTGAACCTTATGGGACTCAATATCAATTTTCTTCTGGATTGGAATTACAACGATGACAAAGTTAGTTCAACAATGACTGTAGATCTGGAACACTGTTGAATTTGTTGGCATTCCCAAGATGGACAATAGACAAATACGAAGATGTTTTTAGAAAAAATAAAGTTCGCACAACGTTGGGAGATAAAAGCAATAAAATAAAATCACTGTAAAAGCACAACATTGAAATAGAAACAAATTTTATTTTGCGACGTTAGAAACTGCTATTCGTCAAGTTTAATTCCATTTTGAAATTAAATCTGAGGAAAGGTGGTCGCTCGAAATGTTACTAGATAAAGTAAATTTGTTTCTATTTAAACATTGTATTTTTACAGTGATTTCGTTTCAAAAAAGTTGTTGCATTCATACTTATAGTAAACTGTACATCACCTATCACAAGAGTCGCGTCCTTCATAATGGTCTATTACATTTTCCTAAATCAATGCTCTTTGGGTAGATTAGTGATTGAGTCAATGCTGAAACAACACTAGAAGTCAACTATCACAAAAGTTGACTTAGGAACAGGGTATGCTCTATGTCCACACACATCTTATTACTCAAACTAAAATAATCCCAGCTCGCTTTAACGAAAATTAGCATTATCAAATAAGACGGACTTATTCAAATTATATAATGCGAATTTACTTTGTAGTCTAAAATTCCATAAATAAACTTTTTTAATCAAATTCTTCTAACCTGATTTGACTCTTGAGGTAATTCTTTGTACATTAGCAGCCCAATCAGTAGAATACCACCAGTAACACTTGCCATTATCAGAAACAAAACAGGAACACTTTCTATAATTTCATCATTGTAAAAAAACCTGAAAAAATATAGAAAGTTTACTCGTTAATGAAAAATTAAGTTGGTTTATGAAATAATTTAATACTATATTGATTAATTTAATA